AGAACCTTTCACACTAGAGATGCTATACCGATGATGATACTTTTCAAGACGCTAGTGCTCTCTAGAGTGGAGTACTGCTGCACAATGACAGCCCCTTTCAAAGCTGGAGAAATTGCTGACCTGGAGAGCGTGCAGAGATCCTTTACTGCTAGAATCCACTCAGTAAAACATCTAAACTACTGGGACCGACTAAAGAGCCTAAATCTGTATTCCCTTGAGCGCAGGCGGGAGAGATACATAATAATTTACACGTGGAAAATAATAGAGGGGCTGGTCCCAAACCTGCACACAGAAATAACACCACATGAGACCAGAAGACATGGCAGGATGTGCAGAATACCCCCGTTGAAAAGCAGAGGTGCAACAGGTACTGAGAGAACTCTATCAACATCAGAGGCCCGAGACTGTTCAACACGCTTCCACTACACATAAGGGGCATAACTGGCCGACCCCTCACAGTGTTCAAGAGAGAACTGGATAAGCACCTCCAAAAGATACCTGATCAACCAGGCTGTGACTCATACGTCAGACTGCGAGCAGCCGCGTCTAACAGCCTGGTTGATCAGTCCAGCAACCAGGAGGCCTGGTCGACGACCGGGCCGCCGGGACACTAAGCCCCGGAAGCACCTCAAGGTAGCCTCAAGGTAGGTATACTGGCAGTGTTCTCTGATTGTGCCTGGCACTCTGCTCTTCACTGGTTCTATTCTGCATTTTCTTCCATATCGTTCACTCCAGTATGTTGTTATTTTACTGTGTAGATTTGGTACCTGTCCTTCCAGTATCTTCAACGTGTATATTATTTGATATCTCTCTCGTCTCCTTTCTAGTGAGTACATTTGGAGAGCTTTGAGACGATCCTAATAATTTAGGTGCTTCATCGCGTCTATGTATGCCGTATATGTTCTCTGTACTCCCTCTATTTCTGCAATCTCTCCTGCTCTGAAGGAAGAAGTGAGTACTGAGCAGTACTCAAGACGAAACAAAAGTGATTTGAAAAGTACAACCATTGTGATGGGATCCCTGGATTAGAAAGTTCTTGTAATCCATCCTATCATTTTTCTGACTGACGCAATATTTGCTTGGATATCCTTCCTAAACGTTAGGTCGTCAGACATCATTATTCCTAATCCTTTACATGCTGCTTTTCTAATGGGCAAATTTAATTGTTTTGTACCTTGTATTATGTTTAAGGTTCTTATTTTTACCCTATCTGAGTATCTGGAATTTGTCACTGTTAAACATCATGTTATTGTCAGCTGCCCAGTCGAAAACTTTATTAATATCTGCTTGTAGTTTTTCAACGTCTTCAGCAGAGGTAATTTTCATGCTGATTTTTGTGTCATCTGCAAAGGATGATACAAAGCTGTGACTTGTATTTGGGTGTATATCTGATATGAGAATGAAGAAAAGCAGTGGTGCAAGGACTACCCTGAGGTACAGAGCTTTAACTGTGCTTTAACGCGATTTTATATAGTTGACTGTTATTGTTTGTTTTCTGTTCGACAGAAAACTGAGTATCCAGCGTCCAGCTTTACCAGTTATTCCCATTGACCTCATTTTGTGTGCTATCACTCCCTGTCACATTTATCGAAAGCCTTTGTGAAATGCGTGTATACCTCATCAGCATTCTGTTTTTTTAATGCCTCAGTGATTTTGTCGTAGTGGTCAAGTAGCTGTGAGAGGCATGATCTTCCCGCTCAAAATCCATGTTGGCCTGGGTTGTTAAGGTCATTGGTCTCCATGAAACTGGTGACCTGACTCCTGATCACTCTCTCAAATACTTTTATTATGTGGGGACGTTAGTGCAACTGTTCTATAATTCTTTGCAAATGCTTTGGTACCTCCCTTGTGTAGAGGGGATATATCTGCTGCTTTCAGCGCATCTGGTATCTCCCCTGTGTCCAAGCTCTTCCTCCACACTATACTGAGTGCCTGTACTTCTGGCACTTTGCATTTATTTATAAATATTGAATTCCATGAGTCTGGACCCTGGGCGGAGTGCATGGGCATATTGTCAATTTCACTTTCAAAATCTGCCACGCTCGTGTTGTTATCAGTTATATTTCCAGGGGTTTGGATATCACTCAAAGAAATTGTCTGGATCTTCCACTTTCATGCTGTGTATCGGAGTGCTAAACATGTCCTCATACTGGTTTTTTTAGGATTTCACTAATTTCTTTGTCATCCTCAGTGTATGAACCTTCACTTGTACGAATAGGTCCAATACTGGCAGTGGTTTTTGCTTTTGATTTCGCACATGAAAAGAAATACTTTGGGTTTTTCTTTATTTCTTGAATTGTTTTCTATTCTAGTTGCATTTCTTCAATCTGGTATGAATGCTTCAGTCTCTCTTCGATTTCTTAAATCTCCCTGTTTAAATTATTCCATGTATTGGAATTGGAAAACATGTATTCATGTTTAAATAACATGAATAATTAAAATTTAAATTTTAAATTATTCATGTTTTGTATGGAAAGTTTTGTATGGAAAGCATTTCTGTTATTTTTTTCCTTCTTCTGTAGTAACTGGATAAGCGCCTCCAAAGGATACCTGATCAACCAGGCTGTGACTCATACGTCAGGCTGCGAGCAGCCGCGTCCAACAGCCTGGTTGATCAGTCCAGCAACCAGGAGGCCTGGTCGACGACCGGGCCGCGGGGACGCTAAGCCCCGGAAGCACATCAAGGTAACCTCAAGGTAAGGTAGTGTCGTCTGCGTTCTCTTTCTGCGTTGGACCTCTTTTTGGCTTTCCTCAGAGGAACATGTTTCAGAAAGACTTCATATGCTTCAGGAGTCAGTTTTTCTATTCCTTGTGTAGGATTTTTATTACTTTGAATATTTTTTAATTGTTTGTAAGTTCCCTGTTTATTTTCTCCCAGTCTATCCTTTTATTATTATAATTGAATTTATTGAATAACCCGTCTCGCTTGTTGTTTCTCTTGGGCCTATTACCGTCATTAATGTTAGTTTGCACTTCAATGAGCTTGTGGTCCGAGTACGTAGTGTCTGAAACAGTAATGTCTCTGATTAGTTCATCATTGTTCGTGAATATCAGGTCCAGCGTGTTTTCGTTCCTAGTTGGCTCTGTAATCTGCTGACTGAGCGAGAATTTGACACAGAATCTCAGTAGTTCTCTGACCTGTGGTTGGTTATTTCCAGGTTGATTTCCTGTTATAATGTTATTGTTTACTATTCTCCATTTTAAACTGGAGAGATTGAAGTCTCCAAGGAAGAGAGAACCTTCTCTCTCCAAGAGAAGAGAGAAGAAGGAAGAAGCACCTCTAGGTAAGATAATATCTGGTACTGGGTTTGCTATGTTATCAAGAATATTCTCTATTTTGTGGATTTGCTCAGTGAATTCCACAACTGTTGCATCTGGCGGTTTGTATATTAGAATGATAATTAGATTTATATTTTCTACCTTGATTCCAAGTACCTCTACCACCTCATTGGTAGAGTTCAGGAGCTCTGTGCATGCCAGCTCCTCTTTAATATACAGACCTACTCCTCCACTTGATACCTGCTTGCATTGCTTGAGTGGATTCTAGCAGTAAAGAATCTCTGCACGCAAGCTACGTCAGCAATTTCTCCAGCTTCGAAAGGGGCTGTCATTGTGCAGCAGTACTCCACTCTAGAGAGCACAAGCGTCTTGAAGAGTATCATCATCGGTATAGCATCTCTAGTGTGAAAAGTTCGTGTTATCCAACCTGTCATTTTTCTTGCAGTTGTGACGGCTACTTTATTGTGTTCTTTAAAAGGTAAGGTCTTCCGACATGAGTACACCCAGATCCTTTACATTGCCTTTTCGTTGTATCTTGAGATGATTTCGGGGCTTTTTAGTGTCCCCGCGGCCCGGTCTTTGACCAGGCCTCCACTTCCAGGAAGCAGCCCGTGACAGCTGACTAAGACCCAGGTACCTATTTTACTGCTAGGTAACAGGCGCATAGGGTGAAAGAAACTCTGCCCATTGTTTCTCGCCGGCGCCCGGGATTGAACCCGGGACCACAGGATCACAAGACCAGCGTGCTGTCCGCTCGGTCGACCGGTTCCCACCAGCTCTTTGTTATCATTTGCCTGAGTTTTGTAAGTGATTTACGTTTTCATATTTTCATTTTTTCCGTAGCGCATGAGCTGGAAGTTATCCTCGTTAAACACCATATTATTGTCTGTGGCCCACAAAAAAAACTGATCTACATCTGATTGGAGGTTTGCCGTGTCCTCTATGTTGCCTACTCTCATGTAAATCCTAGTGTCATCTGCAAAGGAAGACAGTACTATAGATTGTATCCTTGTCTATGTCGGATATGAGGATGAGAAAAAGTACTGGAGCAAGCACAGTACCCTGGGGGACTGAGCTCTTCACGGTTGATGGTCCGGATATTATTTTGTTGACTATTACATATTGGATTCTGTTAGTCAGGAATTTGTAGATCCATCTGCCTAGGCACAGGTGCCATAGGCACAATCAGAGAACACTGTATAAACATCAGAGGTTCACATCTGTTCAACACCCTCCCAGCAAGCAATAGAAATATTGCCGGAACAAAGGTGGATGTATTCAAGAAGCACTTGGATAAGTTCTCGCAAGAAGTTCCGGACCAACCAGGCTATAGTGAATATGTGGGCCTGTGGGCCTGTGGGCCGCTCCAGGCAACAGCCTGTTGGACCAAGTTATCGGTAGTCGAGCCTGGCCTCGGGGAGTAGAACTCCCAGAACCCTCTCCAGACGAGCCACCCAGAAACATACCCTCCCAACACACCCAGTCCCACACAAAGCACATTCCCAAGCACTGTAAACATCCAGCCAAACGCTCACCTTGCATTTGGCAGCACCCCCATCCCACTCTTAGACCACCCTTGCACGCCCACCTTCCTTCCCCGCCAGCCATGCACGCCCACCTTCCTCCCCCGACAGCCATGCACGCCCACCTTCCTCCCCCGCCAGCCATGCACGCCCACCTCCCTCCCCCGCCAGCCATGCACGCCCACCTTCCTCCCCCGCATGTCCATGCACGCCCACCTCCCTCCCCCGCCAGCCATGCCACGCCCACCTCCCTCCCCCGCCAGCCATGCACGCCCACCTTCCTCCCCCGCCAGCCATGTCACTGCCCAGCTTCCACCTTCCTCCCATGTCCATGCCGCCCAGCTTCCTCCCCCGCCAGCCATGCACGCCCACCTTCCTCCCCCGCCAGTCCATGCACGCCCACCTTCCTCCCCCATGTCCCATGCACGCCCACCTTCCTCCCCCATGTCCATGCCACGCCCACCTTCCTCCCCCGCCAGCCATGCACGCCCACCTCCCTCCCCCGCCAGCCATGCACGCCCACCTTCCTCCCCCGCCAGCCATGCACGCCCACCTTCCTCCCCCGCCAGCCATGCACGGCCGCCCTCCTTCCCCCGCAACCCATGCACGGCCGCCCACCCTTCCCCGCCAGCCATGCACGCCCACCCTCCCCCACCAGCCATGCACGGCCGCCCTCCTTCCCCCGCCAGCCATGCACGGCCGCCCACCCTTCCCCGCCAGCCATGCACGCCCACCCTCCCCCACCAGCCATGCACGGCCGCCCTCCTTCCCCGGCAACCCATGCACGGCCGCCCACCCTTCCCCGCCAGCCATGCACGCCCACCCTCCCCCACCAGCCATGCACGGCCGCCCTCCTTCCCCCGCCAGCCATGCACGGCCGCCCTCCTTCCCCGGCAACCCATGCACGGCCGCCCACCCTTCCCCGCCAGCCATGCACGCCCACCCTCCCCCACCAGCCATGCACGGCCGCCCTCCTTCCCCCGCCAGCCATGCACGCCCACCCTCCCCCACCAGCCATGCACGGCCGCCCTCCTTCCCCCACCAGCCATGCACGGCCGCCCTCCTTCCCCCGCCAGCCATGCACGGCGGCCCTCCTTCCCCGGCAACCCATGCACGGCCGCCCACCCTTCCCCGCCAGCCATGCACGCCCACCCTCCCCCATTAGCCATGCACGGCCGCCCTCCTTCCCCCGCCAGCCATGCACGCCCACCCTCCCCCACCAGCCATGCACGGCCGCCCTCCTTCCCCCGCCAGCCATGCACGGCCGCCCACCCTCCCCCGCCAGCCATGCACGCCCACCCTCCCCCGCCAGCCATGCACGCCCACCCTCCCCCACCAGTCATGCACGGCCGCCCTCCGCCGCCTTAATGCTTACGTTGGATTGATAGACAGATGAAGATTAAGCGACGCAGCAGGTGGCACGGGCATGAGTAGCCCGTAATTAAGTTGGACAGGAACTTTGTGTTAAATACAACATAAACTCCTAGACCGGACCACGTGGAAGCCTAGCACCATGAGGCCCAATGTATACATATGTACAGGCGATATATATATATATGGACTGTAGTCAGCCGAGCGGACAACACGCTGGACTTGTGATCCTGTGGTCCCGGGGTCGATCCCGGGCGCCGGAGAGAAACAATGGGCAAAGTTTCTTTCATCCTATGCCCCTGTTATCTAGCAGTAAAATAGGTACCTGGGTGTTAGTCAGCTGTCACGGGCTGCTTCCTGGGGGTGGAGGCCTGGTCGAGGACCGGGCCGCAGGGACACTAAAGTCCCGAAATCATCTCAAGATAACCGCAAGATAGTGAACAGTGCACAGCCAAGTGTAACAACACACACAAAAGTTGAAAGTGTAGGAAAATTGTCATGTGGAAAATTGGAAATGTATAATTAAGTTTAAGTAACTTTATTGAGAAAATGAAATGCATCTCAAAAGGATAGAGTAGCATAGGTTATTTCTACCCTCATCTATATAAGGTCCCTCAAGGGGCTCACAATCCCATACAGTACACAATTATTAATCACATTCTACATTCCAATAATAATAACATGGCTTACTGTGAGATCAACCTGATCAACCAGGCTGTGTCTCATACGTCAGGCTGCGAGCAGCCGCGTCTAACAGCCTGGTTGATCAGTCCAGCAACCAGGAGGCCTGGTCGACGACCGGGCCGCGGGGACACTAAGCCCCGGAAGCACCTCAAGATACGAGATCTCTTATTGATTATGCTGCTCCGACAAGAAGCAAAGTACAATCCCTAAAGCCAAATTGATGCTGTGGTCAGAGAGAACTTTCCCTAATTATTTACAATGATGGCTCCTTGCAACAGTCCTATGGTGCAGCTGGAAGTGCAGCTGTGACAGCGAGAGAGAGTTCCTTCTCCCACGAGTGTGGAGCGTGTATAACTGGGCCTCTACTCTTTTTCCCTAACCACTTGGGCTGGACGGACGGTAGGGCGACGGTCTCGCTCCATGCAGGTCGACGTTCAATCCCCAACAGTCCAAGTGGTTGGGCACAATGCCTTTCTTCCCGTCCTAACCCAAATCTTATCCTGACCTCTTCCCAGTGCTATATACCCGTAATGGCTTGGCACTTTCCCGTGATAACTCCCTCAACCTTCAAACTAGACTGTGCTCTTCAACGTGGACATTGTGCACATCATGCCATATCTCCTGGTCACATGGGGTGTTATTTTTGTGTTCAGATTTGAACTCCAGTCCTTCTAATATCTACTACGTGTAGCTTATTATGGATCTATCTCGCCTGTGCTCAAGAAAACACAGATTTATAACTTTTAATCTGTTCCAATAATTAAGATGACTTATAGGGTGAATTCTAGCGGTAAAGGATCTTTGCACGCTCTTCAGGTCAGCAATTTCTCCAGCTCTGAATGGGGCTACTAGAATGCAACAATATTCCATCCTAGAGAGCACTAGCGTCTAAAAAAGTATCATCATTAGTATGACATCCCTTGTTTGGAAGGTCCTTGTTATCCAACCTGTCATTTTTCCTGCAGTTGTGACAGCTACTTTATGGTCTTCTGTAAAGGTAAGATCTTCCCACATGTTTACTCCTAGGTCCTTTACAATGCTTCATCATCATAAGAACATAAGAACAAAGGCAACTGCAGAAGGCCTATTGGCCCATACGAGGCAGCTTCTATTTATAACCACCCAATCCCACTCATATACATGTCCAACCCGCGCTTGAAACAATCGAGGGACCCCATCTCCAGCACGTTACGCTGTAATTGGTTCCACAAATCAACAACCCTGTTACTGAACCAGTATTTACCCAAGTCTTTCCTAAATCTAAACTTATCCAATTTATACCCATTGTTTCGTGTTCTGTCTTGTGTTGATACTTTTAATACCCTATTAATATCCCCTTTGTTATGTCCATTCACCCACTTGTAAACCTCTATCATGTCACCCCTAACTAATCATCATGGACCAATGATTTGGTCTATCGTTCCCTGGACTGTCTTCCAATTGAGTCCCTCCTCTCATTGCACAATTCACAGATACTCTTACTTTCATGTAGTCCCCTCCCGTGAATCCTTGTTTTATGGGCACTGTTTTAAGTTTGACAATGTAGTGAAATATCGGGACACAATGGTCACTTGCCCTTAGTGATATTTCATGCTCTAAGTTCTCAATGTCTTCCTCATTCTGGGTGAAGATCAAGTCCAGTAGGCTTGGTGTATCTCCTTCCCTTTCTCTTGTGTCACCCTTTACATGTTGTGTTAACAAGTTTCTTTCTACAACTTCAACTAATTTTGTTCCCAACGTTTCTTGCCGACAATGGAGATTTCTGAATTTCCTGGAGTATACCTGGAGAGGGTTTCGGTTGTTTTCCTCCCCGAGCCCGGCCTGGGGTCAGGCTCTAGATTCCATTAAATTTTTCATGATTTACCTTTCCTTCCTTCATGATATAGAGTATATATGGTAGATATGATACAGGAAATTAAGTCAGGAGGACAACCCACGGTCAGAAAGCTAAGGTCCACGAGACTTGTATAAGCCATTTTGACCTTGAAACTGCAGGCAAAAATAATGTAAACACACCTCGCGGCTGAGTGGACAGCGCTCTGGGGTCGTAGTCCTAATCGCACGGGTTCGATCCCCGGAGGACGCGGAAACAGATGGGCAGAGTTTCTTTCACACTGATGCCCCGGTCCACCTAGCAGTAAATAGGTACCTGGGAGTTAGACAGCTATTGCGGGCAGCTTCCTGTGTGTGTGTGTGTGTGTGTGTGTGTGTGTGTGTGTGTGTGTGTACTCACCTAATTGTGCTTGCGGGGGTTGAGCTCTGGCTCTTTGGTCCCGCCTCTCAACCGTCAATTAACAGGTGTACAGATTCCCGAGTCTATTGAGCTCTATCATATCTACACTTGAAACTGTGTATGAAGTCAGCCTCCACCTTGTGTGGCCTCGTAGCCTGGTGGATAGCGCGCAGGACTCGTAATTCTGTGGCGCGGGTTCGATTCCCGCACGAGGCAGAAACAAATGGGCAAAGTTTCTTTCACCCTATGCCCCTGTTACCTAGCAGTAAATAGGTACCTGGGAGTTAGTCAGCTGTCACGGGCTGCTTCCTGGGGGTGGAGGCCTGGTCGAGGACCGAGCCGCGGGGACACTAAAGCCCCGAAATCATCTCAAGATAACTCAAGATAGATAACCACCACATCACTTCCTAATGGATTCCATTTGTCAACCACTCTGACACTAAAAAAGTTCTTTCTAATATCTCTGTGGCTCATTTGGGCACTCAGTTTCCACCTGTGTCCCCTTGTGCGTGTTCCCCTTGTGTTAAATAGCCTGTCTTTATCTACCCTATCGATTCCCTTGAGAATCTTGAATGTGGTGATCATGTCCCCCCTAACTCTTCTTTCTTCCAGCGAAGTGAGGTTTAATTCCCGTAGTCTCTCCTCGTAGCTCATACCTCTCAGCTCGGGTACTAGTCTGGTGGCAAACCTTTGAACCTTTTCCAGTTTAGTCTTATCCTTGACTAGATATGGACTCCATGCTGGGGCTGCATACTCCAGGATTGGCCTGACATATGTGGTATACAAAGTTCTGAATGATTCCTTACACAAGTTTTTGAATGCCGTTCGTATGTTGGCCAGCCTGGCATATGCCTCTGATGTTATCCTCTTGATATGGGCTGCAGGAGACAGGTCTGGCGTGATATCAACCCCCAAGTCTTTTTCTTTCTCTGACTCCTGAAGAATTTCCTCTCCCAGATGATACCTTGTATCTGGCCTCCTGCTCCCTACACATATCTTCATTACATTTAGCTGGGTTAAACTCTAACAACCATTTGTTCGACCATTCCTTCAGTTTGTGTGTGTGTGTGTGTGTGTGTGTGTGTGTGTGTGTGTGTGTGATAAAAATAGTAGTAGTAGTTAGTAACAGTTGATTAACAGAGGAGGGCCGAAAGAGCACAAGCACAACTATGGGAATACACACACACATACAAACTAGACAAGGAGTCTGAGCTCACCCCCCCCCCCCCCACTCGCCTCCACCCCGTAAGTCCATCCTTCACCTCACTCCTTCCTCTCTACCCCTCCATCCCTACCCTCTCCTCTATACTACTATCTTTTCTCATCTTCTTTAACCTCGAATTTCTCCTCTCTTTCCTTTACCCTTCCCCCCCCCCTCTCCTTCGTCTCCCCCTATCTCACTCCCCCCCCCTCCGGGCACCCCCCTCTCTTATATATTAAAATATGTAGATTATGTAAAAAATGTCAAATATATTGTAATTATTTGGGTGTGGAAGCATCAGTGTGTTGCCAACTCCGGCTCACTGTTTATGCAAGGTCATTCAAGGAAACCCTTTTGTTGTCACAATTAAACAGTATACACCATGGGGAGCCGGTCGGCCGAGCGGACAGCACGCTGGACTTGTGATCCTGTGGTCCCGGGTTCGATCCCAGGCGCCGGCGAGAAACAATGGGCAGAGTTTCTTTCACCCTATGCCCCTGTTACCTAGCAGTAAAATAGGTACCTGGGTGTTAGTCAGCTGTCACGGGCTGCTTCCTGGGGGTGGAGGCCTGGTCGAGGACCGGGCCGCGGGGACACTAAAAAGCCCCGAAATCATCTCAAGATAACCTCAAGATAATCATCATCGAATAATCCACGAATACCCGGTTTGAGGGCAGCCCAGGGTGTGGGCGAGGAGCAGGTGCAGGTTACCTGGTCCCTCTGCACAGCTTCTTCACGTTATCTTGAGATGATTTCGGGGCGTAGCGTCCCCTTCTCTAAAAAATCCTAATGACATTTGCAAAGGATGATACAGTGCTATAGATCGTGTCCTTGTCTATGTCCAATATGAGGATGAGAAAAAGTACTGGAGCAAGCACA